AGACTGTCCAAGCCGGGGCTCGAACCAGCAACCTTCCGATTGGCAAACTCACGACACAAAACCTCAAGAAGAGTATAAATTATTTTATTGCAGATGATGAATTTTCCGAACAAATAAGCCTGAAACACTGCAGGGCACAGGCCTGTGTGATCATATGAGGGAGACAAGTGGGTTTAATTAAATTTTTTTTAAAACCAGAAACAGAAAAAACTACTGAATATTCAACAAGCCAAAGAGAACAGGAAACACAGCTTTAATGTAGTGTGATGATAAAGAAATGGTTCAGACACAAAACCTCAAGAACACCAAACAGACCTGTAACCGGTGTTTGGAAGCAAAATCAAAACCTGGTCAAAAAGTACAACCAGCAAAAAAAAGGCCTCGACATTCAAACTGTCTACTGAACTGCTTTTAAAGTAACAGTACAGTTAGCAAAAGAAAGGATTGGAAGAAAATCATCTAACATTAAAGGTAACACCGTTTATCATTCACCATTTAACAGGAAGTCATTATCAGTCAGGCAGAGCAAAGACGACTGTATTTGCTATGTAAAATTTTAAAAATGTATGTACAGAAGCAAAAAAGTGAAGAGAGATTCCATTTTCTCATTTTGGTCTCAATGATTTTTGGTAATTACAAACAAAAAGTAGAAAAGCTCTTTCATGTGTAATGTTAGTGATTACTTCATCGTCCACAACACATAACTATGCATGTAAGAAATATGTGTGACCATTTAATGGTCATTTACACCATGAGCTAAGAGAAACAGAGTGAGACAGGTAAAATTAAATAATCATAAAAATACATTTTTACACCTTTTCAATGGCCGTAATTTTCTTTCCTTGCATATTAGCCTTCGCTGAGATCGGCACTGCCTCGCGGATTCTGGCTTCAACGCCTTCATCCATTTTGTAGCCAAGTGCCTCTGCCAGGAGACGAGTGCTCACAAAACACTCCTTCAGCTGCTTTTTTACTTCCACCACCAGGTGAGTGTTGCGTGTATTGAAGGATTTGACTGCTTTGATTTTAACTCTCCCAGTGTGGACAGGTGCACTCTGAACCTCATTGGTGGCTCCATTCAAATTCAGGGATGAATCACTGTTCGCTGGCTCCTCCAGTTTAGCCTCTGATGGTTCTGAACAATCAGACTGAAAAAGAGCACAAGGTTACCCAAAAACTCCAAATTACAGAGCCCCCAAATGGTCAAGTGGTACTAATCTTTACTCCTTGTTTGTAAATATGTTAATCCAATCCTTAAATTTAATGTATTAAAATGTTAGCTCCTCCTTTTAAACACACTCTCTGGTTTCTTCCCTTCACTAATCCGTTCCTTTGGTTTATTAATCTGTAATCTTGATTTACTAATATGTCCCCTCAGTTTATTTCCATTATTTTTAAGCCATTCCCTTGTACTTTACCAAGCATTTGAATAACAACTGACTTGTTAAAAAAGGAAGAAAATCAAAAACATTTGCACTCTGCAGTCTGGAAACAGCAGCTACCTCGGGAGCGTTTGTGGTTTCAGCTGACTTCATAGATAAATCGTTGTTCTGCGTCTTCTTCTTTTTGGGCTTCATTGTGCCGACAGGATCAGTCTGTGGAGACCAAATTAAAACAGAAAATCATTTACAGTGTAATTAAACACAAAATAATTGTGATGCAATGCAGGGGCCATTCGGTAAAACCAAATATAATTATTTATTTAATAAATATTATTGATAATTTTTGAAAGAAATATTATATATTAATATGTAAAAATATTAATAGATATATGAATACATTTTGACCTCTAATTGAGTTTCTCTATTACATCCTGTCAGTTATGGATGTTAACTGTGAGAGTGTAAACTGCCATTTAATAAACTTTTTGTTTGGTGAATTAATCTGTTAGTTTACTAATCTGTTCCCTTTTTTCTTCATTAGTTCCCCCAGTTTATTAATCAGTTTCCTTAATTAATTAATTTGTCAACTCACTATATTATACACCTTTCATTAATTGAGTTTAATGTCCGGTTCCTTTGATGGATTAATGTCCCTCTATTAATCACTTCCCTGGGTTTATTCATTTGTTAACTCAGTACTATTCGGTTTCTTTGTTTATCAATTAGTTCAGTTGTTGGTTCACTGACCTTGATTTGTTAATTAGTTCCCTAAATTCATGAATAAGTTCCCTCGAATAATTCATCTGTTAACATAACTATAGTAATCGGTTCTCCAAGTTTATTGATCTGTTCCTTTAGTTTTTTAGTTATCTTTAATTTATTAATTTACCTCCGTTTATCAATAGGTTCTCTTAAATCATTACTTTGTTAACTCAGTTTATAAATCTATTCCATTCTTTTACTACTTACGTTTATTAATCAGTTCCCACAGTTCTGGTTCCTCAGTTTACTAATCAATTCTATAAAATTATTAAGCTGTTACCTTGATTTGTTAATGTGCTCCCTCAGTTTATTTCCTCTCTTTTATTAAGCTGTTACCTTATATTATACTAAAAAACTGAATAAAAACTGGCTCAAAAACAATTCAAACACATTTACACCCTGCAGTCAGTAAACAGTGTCTTCTGAGTCTTTTTCATTTCTCTGTTATTGTCATTCAAAACTTCACCGCAACTATAAAAGTGAAGACAAGTCCAAAATCTGGAGGCAGGAATTTGTATGTTGATCTGGAAATAGTTTGAAATCTCTTTCTAATCATGAGATGACACCTCACATTTATCTGTTGACCCTTTTCAGGGGCCCGACCCACAGGTTGGACTAGTGTACCTGTATTCAAATCAGAGTGAACAATAAATACTAAGATTGAGGCTGTTTCATGCAACAATCCTCTAAAACCACAGACCGTATCATCTTGCAGCCTCCATCAGTTTATCAATCATGTCCTGTGACTTGTTAATCAGTTCCCTCACTTTAATAACATGTTCCCTCTGTTCCCTTGTATTCTGAGAGCAGTGGGTACCTTGTGAGTCTTGGATGCATCTCTGTTTTCCATCTTCTTCTTGGACTTTTCTGCTGTCCCAGGATCAGTCTGAGGAAACCAGCAGCTCAAAATTAAAACAGGCGATCATTCATTAACTCAGAGGAATTAATCAGAGTTATGTTGATGTACTGCAGGGACTTTGTGTTAAACACTGTATGAAAATATAAATAATCTGTCAGCATGGTTTTAGCTTCTCTGTGTTAATAAATTTTATCAGTTACTTATATTTGTGTTCAGTTGATGGATCTGTTTTTCCATAATCTGTCCCCTCATCTCATTATTATATTCATCTGTTCCCTCAGTGTCTCTGTGTTTGTCACATCATCACCTTCCTCCTCTTCCTCTGATTTGAGGAGATATAAAAGCAGCAGAATAAATGACCATACCTGACGGAGGGAGCGCTTCAGTGCTGATGATGATGATTTCACTCCGACAGGCTGGCAGCTTTTCTGCTCGCCTATAAGAGAAGAAACTGTGTTACTCTGGTTTGAAGGTAAAACCCTCAAATCTGTCGGTTTAATATGATTGTTTGGAGCCGGACACAAGGATACACCCTCCTGTGGGCCCCCACCCAGAGGAAGAGCTGCATTGGTCCAGTCTTTGTGGATCAAGACGATCCAAACTGGCTTTTGGAGCCTGTACTGTCAGCTCTGTGGTGGCCAGTGAGCCTCATCTTGTGTTTGAGGTTGAGACATTACCAGATATAGTCAGGCTCACGTCGATGCACAGCCAAACACCAGCCCAGCATCAGATGTGCAGCCACATGGAGACTCAGCTGAATCTATGAGCAGAGCTGTGTGATCACAACCTGGGCGTGAGTTGGATCTGGTGCCCTGCTGTGCTCTGGTGTTTAGTGAGGATGTGCTGGGAGCTCTGGTATGACCTTCAGTGAAGAGTCAGTATGGGCCGAGTTACCAACCTCAACTACTGAGGCAGCTACATGCAGCTGTGGCTGTAAGGTTTTTGGTTCCTGTTGTGGCATCAACAATGTGGCGCCACAAGCTAACCATCTCCTGTTGAGTTTGATTAGCTTTTATAGCCTTTGAGTTTTGGAGTCAGCTCAAAGACATCAGAAGGTCAACCAGAGTTGCTTTGATTGACGGGTCTTTGCTACACTGCATGGATATCCGGGTCAGAGCCTCTGGATTAGTGTGGTGGTCCCACGTTTTAAAGAGGGGGACCAGAGTGTGGTTCCTGCAGCGATCAGGACTCACACTCCTCTGTGTCAGGTTACTGGAGCAGGTAGATCATCCTCACATTCTGGATGATGCACTTTTCATCCCAGCTGGCAGCACGGGACCAACACTTTACCCTCACAACGTGAGGAGGTTTGGCTCTCTTATGTCTCTTGTGGTCTCCTGCTATGGATGTCTTGTAGGAGGAGCTCTGGGAGGACCGAGTGTCAGGCCCGTTGTTACAAGTTATTCAGGGATATGCAGGAACTGACAGTAGTGCAACCAAAACAACTGCACCAAGACCCTTTGGACGACACGTCTCGGTCCTGTTCCAAACAAATGAACAGGAACGCTACAAGGTTGAAACAAAGCGCCTTCCCGTAGCCACGCTTTGCATTCTGGGATGCAGCAGGATGCCATAGATGTCAGTACAGGCGAGTAACCAGCTGTTTATGAAACTCTCCATGTTATCTACTAGTGCAGTTTCTTACTTTTGTGGCTGCTGCCTAATTAAAATCTTAGATTCTCATTTTAACATGAAGAAATAAAAAAAGACCTAAACATCAAACATCTGTAAAAACCTCTTTATTATCACTTGCACTGACCTTTACAGCTTCTGCTGTTGCTCACAGACCATCTGTAGAAACTTCACATAAACATCAGGTCACAGGATGAACTCACCTCTTCTCTCATCCTCCTGTTTCTTCTCCAGTCTTTCCACAAAGGGGCGCAGTCGGCCCTGAACTTTTGGGTCCCTCCGAGGTATCCGATCCATTATTTCATGGATTTTAAGGACAGATGTTTCCACTCCGTAGTGCTCGATGATTACTTGGGGCATCTCTTCTCTGGACTTGGTGGTCCTTACATGTTTGGGGATATCCGACAGAATAAACATCATCTTATTGTACTGTGACCCATCGAGTTCTTCAAGGATCTCGGTCAGAGCTCTTTTCCACTTTTCCTCTGAAGTCGTTGACATCTGACACACAGACAGAAACGCTCTGTTACACCAGCTCCATGAACCCAACACACTGTGAGAGGTGAAAGCACACTGTGCAGTTTTCACTGCACCTCACATTCATCTGAGAAGATTCATTTCTACTTTCAGCCTTTTAACATTTATTGAAACGCAGTTTAAAGGCCTCTGAGAGCTGTCATGTAAACACAGAGTGATGTGTGTGTTCTGTTTCCAGCTGTGGGAAATCACAAACAACAACATTTACACAGAGACTCTATAGTCAGTGTTTCCTTTGCACTGTTCCAAGCAACCTGTCCTCTAATGTGAGCCTTTCTATTCTCCATGAGGGCAGGTGTTGTTCACCAGGAGGACCCGAGGACCCCGTCTGTCACACCACTGACCTGCTGGAGGTCATTTTGTAGCTCCGGCACTGCTCATCCTGTTCCTCCTTGCACTAAGGAGCAGGTACATATACACACACTGTATACAGGTTTTTTGCAGAGGTGCTTTATTCATCGTCTGCAGACAAAAAAGCTTCCCTGAAACAAACTTCCTGATGGGAGGAGATGCTGCCTGAGTGTAACAGGGTCATAAATCACATTGTTCTAAACCCCCAAACCGTTCCTTTTATACCTGACTTTTAGGACCTCCAAGCCTGTAGTTATGTTCATTATCAGTTAGAGCCCCTCCTCATTCTTTTCTTCTTCTT